AGAATTTGTGGTTGGCAAGACTAGACTGGCAAAGAAAGTTTGAAGACTGATTTCTAAATTCAAAAAGTCCATAAAGCATTTTAAAGAGATAAAAGCTAAATAAGTATTTGTTATGATGGGAGAGATTATAAGAATTTCAGAACAGTACAACTCTGGAAATGGACTGATGAGAGCTGTTTTGTGTTTTCTAAATCTGGAAATCTGAAACAGACTAGAGTTTTAGCTGTGCAGAATGGGGTGATTGAACACTGAACCCCCCAGAATCCTTCTAGTTCCATTATTCTAGAATTCTGTGGGTAATTGTGATGGTGTCAGACTTGGTTCTGTTTCATGGATACATCAGACAGGTGTGGTATGGATAAAGATCCTATACTCTGTGGTCAAGTCCTAGATATGGACCATAGAAGATTACATTTTTATTTTCTTGATATTACTAGCCATGTAACTGCTAAACAGGTAATTTCTAAAATGCTGGCAGTACAGTGGTACATTATCTGTATATAATACACTACTTTAGCCTGTTGGTTAGCCTCCCCGCTTCCTGATGAAGTTTACCTCCAAATTTTTCTCTTTTTTTTTCTTTTTGAGATGGAGTTTCCTCTCGTTGCCCAGGTTGGAGTGCAGTAGCGCGTTTTTGGCTCACTGCAACCTCCACCTCCTAGTTTCAAGTGATTCTTCCGCCTCAGCCTCCTGAGTAGCTGGGATTACAGGCATCCACCATCATGCCCAGCTAATTTTTGTACTTTTGTAGAGACAGGGTTTCACAACATTGGCCAGGCTGGTCTCGAACTCCTGACCTCAGGCAATCCACCTGCCTCGGCCTCCCAAAGTGTTGGGATTACAGGCATGAGCCACCATGCCCAGCCACCAAATTTTTCTTGACTGTGGAGTCTCTGCTCTTTCTCATCCCACTGGTCTTTTCCTTCTAACTTACTTTAAGCCAAATATCCTGCTTTGTATATTATCCTCAATGCCTTTTGTTCATACTCTGTTTTCGAGTTCTTGTGGCCAAAATTTTTGTTTTATTTTTTTTTTAAATATATTGTGGGCATACAGTAAGTTTATATATTTACTTGTGGCCAAAATTTTTAAGCAGCTATAATCTCATGAGGGTTCAGTTCTTGGAGGGCATCATTTGGACCATATTTTATGCACTTAATTTCATTGTTGTTTCTAAGGTAATTTTTGCTCTGAATTTGAAACTGGGTGCAAACCCAGTATATATATACACATCACCTCAGCTTCCTAATCCCTGACTCTTCTAGCCTCTCTCCATCTGAGCTGTTATATTTACTCCTATCCAAAGACATGTTTTTCACTCTGTTATTACCACTGATAATGGCCTGGCCAAATCCTATTGTCTTTTGATTCTTTTCAGAGCTCATCCTTTTATGATATCTAAGTTATATTTGATGCTTTTTGATATATTTTATTGTTTATCAAAATATACTTGGTTTGATATATTTTATGCATCCTTCTTTCAAACTCTTCCCCTCTTTGTCTTCTATTACGTGGTTCTCTCACCTCTACCCACTACTTCTTTCTTTTTTTTGAGATGGAGTCTCGCTCTGTCACCCAGGCTTGAGTGGAGTGGCGTGATCTTGGCTCACTGCAGCCTCCACCTCCTGGGTTCAAGGGATTCTCCTGCTTCAGCCTCCCAAGTAGCTGGGATTATAGGCATGTGCCACCATGCCTGGCTAATTTTTGTATTTTTAGTAGAGAAGAGGTTTCACCATGTTGGCCAAGCTGGTCTCAAACTCCTGACCTCACGTGATCTGCCCGCCTTGGCCTCCCAAAGTCCTGGGATTACAGGTGTGAGTCACTGCACCCAGCCTGCCCACTACTTCTCTCTTTGGGAGCCTAGTTACTGTCTTCCCCATGTAGATCTCCCTCCTGTGGCCCTCTTCACTTGAGGTCTAAACATCCGCATTTGCTTTTTATTCTGCCTGTGGTTATTCTTTCCTCTCTAATATGTGCTGCATGTCACCATCAGGTGGGTCCCCAGTTTTCACCATTCATTCATTCATCGAACCACTATGTGATTTTTCTTATA